CCCCCTTGAGATCACCCCACAGATTTTCAATCAGATTCAGGTCTGGGCTCTAGCTGGGCTATTCCAAAACGTTAATCTTCTTCTGGTGAAGCCATTCCTTTGTTGATTTGGATGTATGCTTTGGATTGATGTCATGCTGAAAGATGAAGTTCCTCTTCATGTTCAGCTTTCTAGCAGAAGCCTGAAGGTTTTGTGCCAGTATTGACTGGTATTTGGAACTGTTCCACGCTTCACTGTGGGTATGGTTTTCTTTTGGTGATGTACAGTGTTGTTTTTGCGCCAAACATATCTTTTGAAATTATGGCCAAAAAGTTCAGCCTTGGTTTCATCAGACCAGAACACATTTTCCCACATGGTTTTTGGAAGACTTCAGATGTGTTTTTGCAAAATTTATCTAGGCTTGGATGTTTTTCTTCATAAGAAAAGGCTTCCATCTTGAGACTCTAAAGTGTAAAGGATCCTCCTGCACTCGATGGAATGATTACTATAATACAGCTGCTGTCACTTAACTAATACCAACAAGTGCAAACAAAAAGAAAAAAATAGTGAAGCGCTTATATCTCATAAATAAATAAAGTGCATTCAAAAAAGAATTAATATAAATGAATTAATATAAATCTGATACTCCTGTGTGACAAATCTATATAATAAACACTAATACCTCCCTCTAGTGGGAGAAAAAAATAGTGCAACCAAATGTAATTAAGCTTTAGTGATTCAACACACACTATAAAAAAAAAGTATTATACCGTGCATATAACAAATTTCAATACATAACCAAATGTGAATAAATTAGTGAATATGAAATTAATTCTCCACATAAAATAGTGCCTAATTCATACACATTTCATATACATCATAAGTGAAAAAGAAAAAATGTCCATGCATGTGACCCTGTGCTTTTGGAAAACACATGTGATCACTTCTAGGTGCAAATAATCTCCTCCAAATGGCAGCAATGCCTGCTCACCTCCCCTCCTTGACCCACACAGGGCCCCAAAGCAGTTTCCACCTCAGTGGTGTATCTCCTCTGGCAGACTCCTTATTCCTCCTCCTCTCTTATTCAGACTCATAGAAAGACATAAAACTTTTCATAGTGTAGTATATTTATTAAGAAAGGGTAAAAACACCACAAATAGTTACACTCACATGGTCCTCTTGGTTAACAAGCGTTTTTACCACAACCTATGGGTAAATCTGCATGCACTGGGGAATCCAATATGGCCGTCACGTGCGTTGTGACTTCATCAGGGTTACCGCCCCCTGGTGACTCTAGAAGTGGAGATCACGTGTGTTTTCCAAAAGCACAGAGTCACATGCATGGACATTTTTTCTTTTTCACTTATGATGTATATGAAATGTGTATGAATTAGGCACTATTTTATGTGGAGAATTAATTTCATATTCACTAATTTATTCACATTTGGTTATGTATTGAAATTTGTTATATGCACGGTATAATAAGTTTTTTTTTATAGTGTGTGTTGAATCACTAAAGTTAATTACATTCGGTTGCACTATTTTTTTCTCCCACTAGAGGGAGGTATTAGTGTTTATTATATAGATTTGTCACACAGGAGTATCAGATTTATATTAATTAATTTATATTAATTCTTTTTTGAATGCACTTTATTTATGAGATATAAGCGCTTCACTATTTTTTTCTTTTCATCTTGACACTCTACCCCATATCCCAGACATATGAAGAATACAGGAGATTGTTGTCACATGTACCACACAGCCAGTACTTGCCAGATATTCCTGCAGCTCCTTTAATGTTTCTGTAGGCCTCTTGGCAGTCTCCCAGACCAGTTTTCTTCTTGTCTTTTCATCAATTTTGGAGGGACGTTCAGTTCATGGTAATGTCACCGTTGTGCCATATTTTCTCCACTTGACTGTCTTCACTGTGTTCCATGGTATATCTAATGCCTTGGAAATTCTTTTGTACCCTTCTCCTGACTGATACCTTTTAAGAATGAGATCCCTCTCATGTTTTGGAAGCTCTCCACGGGCCATTGCTTTTTGTGTAGGATGCAACTAAGAAAATGTCAGGAAAGACCTACTAGGGCAGTTGAACTTAATTTGGGGTTAATCAGAGGCACTTTAAATAATGGTAGGTGTGTACTGACTCCTATTTAACATGATTTTGAATGTGATTGCTTAATTCTGAACACACAGCTACATCCCCAGTTATAAGAGGGTGTGCACACTTATGCAACCACATTATTTTAGTTTTTTATGTTTACTCCCCCCCCCCCCCCCTAAAAGATTTGTTTGTTTTTCAATTGAGTTGTACAGTTTATAGGTTACATTAAAGGTGGAAAAAGTTCTGAAATTATTTATCTTTGTCTAATGTTTTTACATCACAGAAACCTGACATTTGAATAGGGGTGTGTAGACTTTTTCTATCCACTGTATACTACCCCCATAGTATTGCAGGTAATACGATGTTTAGGAACAAAAGGCATATTGTTAGGAAGATTGAGATTTTGGCATTCCTAAATCCATGTACATGACCCACATCTAAAGGTACCTTTAATTCTTGTCAAGTCGATGTCTTTAGTGCAATTATGACTATGTACCAATCTGTCTCTCATAGACCTAGATCTTCTTTAAACAATTTCAGGGTATGGCTTTACATGCCTGGAAAAAAACGTCATCTCTGTCAGAAGATACCAATATTTTAATGGATTTGATATTTCATAGAGTAGAGAACTATGAGTTTTGTAGTACTAGTTACAACAGGTTTTTTAGAGGTACAGTATATATAAGGGACATTCTGGTCTGCCCTTTTGCTCTTTGGTAAGCCTTTTTTAAGGCCAATAGCCTTTCCGTAAGTTGTGCTGCCTGGAAAATATAGTCATCATCTGTTGAACAATTACGAGGTAAACATATATATTGTCCATATGGGATGCTTTGGACCAGTGCTTTAGGGTGAGAGCTTCAGGCATGCAAAATTGTGTTGCCTGAAGACGGCTTCCAGTATTGAGTTGTGGCCAGTGAGCCATCCTCCTGGATGTAAATTTCCACATCCAGGAAGGAGATTCCATGGGAGTCTGACTGCATTGTAAATTTTAAACTGATTGTTGCTTATCTTGTTCATGAATTCTTGGAGGAGATCAACTGTTCAATTCCAAATAATCAGTATATCATTAATATATTGAAACCATTCCATAATACATGCCATATATGAGACAAAAGAATCCTGCATAAATATTTCTTTCTCCAACCCCCCTCAGATAGAGGTTCACATTTGAGGGGACACAATACGTCCCATTGTGACCCCTTGAATCTGAAGGTAGTGTGTCTCAGAGAAAACAAAATAGTTTTGAGGCAAAATTGATCTAAGTAGATCCAGAATAAACCCATTAAGGGGCCAAGTGGTCTGATCCTGTCCACTTAAAAAGGTCTTCACCACCCCGATGCCCTGCTTGTGAGGAATGCTGGAGTACAATGCCTCCACATCAATTGCACAAGCAGTACATCAGGGGGGGACATAGATTCCTTCTAATCTCTTCAGATCACTCGTATCTTTAATATAAGAAGGCAGTCGACTACTGTGGTAACAGATGGAAGTCCATTTAGCCTAGACTTTTCCATAAGGGAGTCAATTCCTGATACTATAGGTTGTCCTATTGGGGACAGTAGGTTTTATATGAGCCTTAGGGAGTTCTTTAATTGCTTTGTTTTTATCGTTGTGTATGAATAAAGATTACAAGGGAGGTTATATACCTATTATATTTTTTAATAGTGTCTTGTGCGATACTTCTTGGGGCACCTCAAAAGTCTAGGGGTCATACCTCCTTTTCTCCACATATTCTAAACAATTTTGGATGTGGGGCCCCATTTTATGTTCCATGATATTGCCACCATAGGCCCATTACTTTTTGATATGCTAATGCACACGGGGTGATTAGGTAGTACTCAGCACACCCTGTGCACACATCTACAGATGTCCCCCTTTTAAGGCCGTTCCATACCGTAGACTATGGCAACTCAACATTTCAGTAGTATTGAGCAAGAGAGTGCAGTGTCCGTATATTCTGCATCCGCATTCCCACTCTTCTAAGGTACTGTCGGTTCTCCACGAGGCCCGTCCAGTGACATTGGGGTCAATTCACTAAAGGTTACCGCATGCGATAACACTGTCATGTGACTCATTTGTATAAATGATGGCATACGGTAACAAAATGTCCAGTTCACAAAAAAATATTCTGCGGTACTAAACGCAAAATTAAAAATGTGTCGGTAAATACCGCAGAAAAAATGCCGTAAGCTGTTACGGTCAATTCACAAACAGAACAGAAAGTAAAAAAAGATGCAATATTTATCAAAAGAGTTTTGCTGGCGATATCACATATGCTATTTTTTTCAAATGTAGCGAGGGGGTCCCCCCCCAACCCCTAGTGGTCTGGTATGGATATTAAGGGGAAGCCCACACCAAAATTTAAAGAAAAATGGCGTGGGGTACCCCCAGATCCATATCAGATTCAAACTCCCTTGGGCTTTTGAGGGGACCCGCACACCTTTTTTTTTTTATAATTATGGTGTGGGGTTCCCCCAAAATCCATACCAGACCTAAGGGCGGTTTTTTTTCTTTTTTTAAATTTTGGTGTGGGCTTTTCCTTAACCACCTCCCGCCCGCAATATAGTCCAATGACGGGCACATGGTGGTTCTCTCGTTCTGGGAGAACGACATATGACGTCCTCCCATTCTCACCACGCATGCGCTGCTCAGGGAGCGTGCGTCGATCGGGGGGGTGCGCTGTGTCCCTCGGACACAACGGATTACTGATCTACGGAAAGATCCGAAGATGGCGGCTCGGTCATGTGATCAGCTGTGTCCAATCACAGCTAATTACATGTAAACAGGGAAGTGCCGGTTATCGGCATTTCTCTCCTCACGAGCTGTCACGCTGACAGCTCCAGAGGAGAGGAGAGCCGGTAATGGGCATTCCGCGGAGGGGACATGTACACTGATCATCAGGGCACTGATGATCAGTGTGGCCCCAGAAGTGCCACCTGTCAGTGTCCATCAGTGCCAGCTGTCAATGCTGAACAGTGCCACATGCCATTGCCCATCAATGCCACGTGCCAGTGCCCATCAGTTCCACATCAATGCCACATATCAGTGCCCATCTGAGCTGCCTTTCAGTGTCACCCATCAGTGCCAGTCAGTGCCACCTATCAATGCCAATCAGTGCCAGTCAGTACCGCCTATCAGTTCCAGTCAGTGCCGCTTATCAGTGCCATTCAGTGCCGTCTATCAGTGCTGCTTTTCAGTGCCTATCAGTGATGCCTGTCAATGCCCATCAGTGTCCATCAGTGCAGCCTGTCAATGCCCATCACTGCAGCCTCATTAGCGCACATCAGTGAAGGAGAAAAATCACTTATTTACAAAATGTTACAACAAAAACTAAGAAAAAAAATTTTTTTTTTCAAACTTTTCAGCAGTTTTTGGTTTGTTTAAGAAAAAATAAAAAACCCAGAGGTTATTAAATACCACCAAAATAATCTGTCACAAAAAAATTATAAACATTTCATATGGGTACAGTGTTACATGACCGCACAATTGTCATTCAAAGTGTGACAGCGCTGAAAGCTGAAAATTGGCCTGGGCAGGAAGGGGTATAAGTGCCCTGTAGGCTAGTGGTTATAATCCATACCAGACCCAAAGGGCCTGGTATGGATGAGGAGGCAGCCCCACATTGTTTTTTTCATCATTTGAAATTGCTAGCATGTTTTGTTTACAGTCAGCTGTCAGTGGGACACCTGCTGACAGCTGATGAGTCATCTGTTGTTAAGGACCCTGCAGCTGGCTTCATTAATAACCAGCTACCATGCGGTAAATTACCTCATGAAAATTACCACAATAGCAATATTTTTCACAAGTTATTTACTGCGTAATTCTTATTGAATTGCATATTTGCAAAACATTTACCAAATACGTTATTTTACTGCATTTTTTGCAGTCCTTATTTAACTCTTAGCGAATTGACCCCATTGTTCACAGTCAGCTTTTAACCCTTGTGGCTCTGCTGTAATCTGTGAATAACATGGTGGGGAAAGTCTCACTATGGCATAGCAGCATATGGTGACCAAGTCACAGATGGCCATTAACCCCTTCTGATCTGCAGTAATTGGTGGGTAACCTTGTTTGTGATATCTTTCTTTATTCTGTTTGTACAGAGGCATACGGACTGCCCTTAATCCCTCCTGTGAGGCAGTGCTCTGTGAGTAACCTTGTTAGCAATGTCTCACTATGTGCTTTTGAAAAGTGGCTTTTGGTGACCTAGTCACAAACAATCTTAGGCCCTCCTGCTCTCCAGTGGTCTGTGAGTTTCATTGGTATTTTTTTTTCTGTTTGTACAGTGGCCTATGGTGAACCAGTCATGCATGGCCAATAGCCCCTTCTGTTATGCAGTGAGTTATTAATTTTTAGTAAAAAAGAAAATGTCTCAATATGTATTGCGATTCAACAGCCTCTGGTGACCTAGTCATGGACAGTCTTTAACTCCTCCTGCTCTGCATTGGCTTGTAAGCAACCCTTGTGGGTAATGTCTCATTGTATACAGTTTGTACAGTGGACTACAGTGAACTAGTCATACATGGCTATTAGCCCCTATTGTTCTGGAGTGAACCTTGTCAGTAGTGTTCTGCATACACAGCTATGAAAGAAGTGCGGGAAGTAAAAAATAAATACACTGTACATATTCACCTAAATGGTTGCAACACCGATCAGATGCTTTAGCTGTCCCCTGCCTGCTCTAAGCCACAAAAAAATTACGATCACGTGACTGCTGATCGCTCATTTCTTGGGTCTGGACTGAGCACAAAGTGGTGACTGACATTATTGGGATACATTCATACACTGGCTCTGTGATGTCAGCCAACAGTGGACTTTAGTGCACTCCTGTGACCCACATAAGTAGTATGACCAATCAAGCTTTTAACCCTGCTGTTCTGCAGTTGGTCTGCGAATGATCCATGTTGTCCTGTCTCACTTGTATACTGTTTGCACAATGGCCTATGGTGAACTCACCCTGAATGGCCTTTCACTCAGCCTGTTTCCCAGTCGTTCCACTGGTAATGTCTCATTTGGATACTGTGGCCTATTGAGGCCTAGTCACAAAGGCCACTGTCCCTCCAGCCTTGCATTGGGATTGCGAGTTCCCCTTGTGAGTTTGATTTCACTTACATATTTTTTGGTATTGTAGCCCAGGGTGCCTTAGCAATGAACTGCATTTAACTCCTACAGTATGTCTGTTTTCCTTATTAATTGGTGTGCCAGTGCTTGAACAATCCATTCGTTTGGATTATCTACAGTTGCAAGAAAAAGTATGTGAACCCCTTGGGATTACGTGGAGTTTTGCATGAATTGGGCATAAAATGTGTTTTGAACGTCATCTAAGTCACAACAATAGAAGAACACAGTCTGCTGAACATAATACTACACAAACATTAGATGTTGCCATGGTTTAATTGCACATAACATGTAAACATTCACAGTGCAGGGAGGAAAAAGTATGTGAGGCCCTAGCTTAATGACTTCTCCCAGAGCTAATTGGTGCCAGGAGTGAGCCAACGTTGACTCCAATCAGTGTGACGATATTGGATGTGTTACTGACAGCTGTCCTGCCCTTAAAACACACACACCTGTTTTGGGTTTACTGGTTTCAAGAAGCACTGTCTGATGTGAACCATGCCTCGCAGAAAAGAGCTCTCAGAAGACCTACGATCAAGAATTGTTGACTTGCATGAAGCTGGAAAGGGTTACAAAAGTATCTCCAAAAGCCTTGATGTTCATATGTCCACGGAAAGACAGACTGTCTACAAATAGAGAAAGTTTAGCACTGTTGCTACTCTCCCTAGGCGTGGTAGTCCTGTAAAAATGACTGCAAGAGCACAGCGCAGAATGCTGCATGAGGTAAAGAAGAATCCCAGAGTGTCAGCTAAAGACCTACAGAAATCTCTGGAACATGCTAACATTTTTGTTGACACATCTACAATAAGGAAAACATTAAACAAGAATGGAGTACATGGGAGGACACCACGGAGGAAGCCATTGCTGTCCAAAAAGAATATTGCAGCACGTTTGAAGTTTGCAAAAGAGCACCTGGATGTTCCACAGCACTACTGGCAAAATATACTGTGGACAGATGAAACCAAGATTGAGTTGTTTGGGAAGAACACACAACACTGTGTGTGGAGAAAAAAAGGCACAGCACACCAACATCAAAACCTCATCCCCACTGTAAAACATGGCGGAGGGAGCATCATGGTTTGGGGCTGCTTTGCTGTCTCAGGGCCTGGATGGATTGTTGTCATTGATGGGAAAATGAATTCCAGAGTTTATCAAGACATTTTGCAGGAAAACGTACGACCATCTGTCCGCCAACTGAAGCTCCGCAGAGGATGGGTGATGCAACAGGACAATGACCCAAAGCATACAAGTAATTCAACAAAACAATGGCTGCAACAGCACAGAATACGCCTTCTGGAGTGGCCCAGTCAGAGTCCTGACCTCAATCCCGATTGAAATGCTGTGGCATGACCTTAAGAGAGCGATTCACACCAGACATCCCAAGAATATTGCTACACTGAAACAGTTTTGTGAAGAGGAGTGGTCCAAAATTACTCCAGATCGTTGTGCAGGTCTGATCTGCAACTACGGGAAACGTTTGGTTGAGGTTATTGCTGCCAAAGGAGGGTCAACCAGTTATTAAGTCCAAAGGTTCACATACTTTTTCCTCCCTGCACTGTGAATGTTTACATGTTATGTGCAATTAAACCATGGCAACATCTAATGTTTGTGTAGTATTATGTTCAGCAGACTGTGTTCTTCTATTGTGACTTAGATGACGTTCAAAGCACATTTTATGCCCAATTCATGCAAAACTCCACGTAATCCCAAGGGGTTCACATACTTTTTCTTGCAACTGTAAGCCTGATGGCCTGTTTAGTCTCTAGACTCTTCCCTTCCACGTCTGGACTTCCATGTTTCTGGAAGTGAACCAACACTGTGTTTTGCATCAGGGTCTTGGCTCTGATTGAGGCCTCTTCAAAACAGTCCAATTTCCTCATTTTCACCCCAGACCATTACTGCTCACCATTCAGGTGGCATGGGACATGAGGTTGCAGTCTCTGGATTGTTCCATTCACCTGTCAGGCAGTGCTCAGTGGGATGGATTCTGGCTACTCCAGTCTGGTCTGGATCATCAGCATTGGGCTATCAAGGGTGTATTTCTCCATTGATGGATACAGCTTAATGATATTTGGCAATGTAGGGTTATACAGCTGCCTATAAAGGAAATAGACTCTAAGCACAAGAAATTGAAGACCAGGTCCCTAGGGAGATATAACCCCTCCCACCCACTCAGTTTCATTTGGTGTCCACAGATAATCGATGTCTACTTCCTCTCTGCTGGAGTTTCCTGGAAGCATTTCATTATCAACAGCCGCTGATAGATTCATGCCAAATATACTAAATCTTGGAAGTCACTTTAGTTCACCAGTTTTTCTTTTCCAGTTTTCCCATACTGGTGTTCTCTCTGTGGCAGCCATGCAACCCCCAGTGAGTGCACTGCTGGTATTGTCTATTGATTCCTTGCTGAATATCATGTCCTGGGCCTTGACATGTAATGAGTATGAGTAACTCAAGCTGTGTTCCAGCTATCAAAGGATTTCACATTTAAGGCCAGGCCCATATTGTCTGGAGATCCCCCTTGTATATGTTGGGACCAAGGCCATGGCATGGTGTGGTTAAATAGAGTCTGATATGACTTACATAGTGCAGAATGTGATAATGTTAAATAGGGAATGTACATTGCAGAGTGTACGGCGGTGAGAAGTATGTGCAGGAGAGGGGTATGGAGTGTATGGCAGTGGGTAGTGTGTGCAGGGAGAGGGGTACAGATTGTATGGTGGTGGGTAGTATGTGCAGGGAGAGGAGTGCGGAATGTATGGCGGTGGGTAGTATGTGCAGGGAGAGGAGTGCGGAATGTATGGCGGTGGGTAGTATGTGCAGGGAGAGGAGTGCGGAGTGTATGGTGGTGGTGTAGTTGTGGAAGGGAGAGGAGTGCAGAGTGTATGGCGGTGGGTAATATGTGCAGGGAGAGGAGTACGAAGTGTATAGCGGTGGGTAGTATGTGCAGGGAGAGGAGTGCGGAGTATATGACAGTGGGTATTATGTGCAGGGAGAGGAGTGCGAAGTATATGGCAGTGGGTAGTATGTGCATGGAGAGGGGTACGGAGTGTATGGCGGTGGGTAGTTATTAAAGGGGGAGGAATGCGGAGTGTATGGCAGTGGGTATTTATTGCAGGGACAGGAGTGCACAGTGTATACTACATAGAGAGACAGGAGGACCAGTGATACCCCCATTTCAGCCCTGCTGGTAGTTCTGACACTGC